ATGCTAACGGTCACAATCGTTTATACATGCAAGCTGAACCAATCAGTGAGGAATTGATTGAAATGATTAAGGAAGGTCAATTGCCAATGGATGATCAAAACAAGAGAGCCAAGATTTTAGAAATTGACTTTGAATGGGATCCTAGCATAACAAAGAGAATTTGGAGTTTTGGACCTGAAGCTGATAAGGGTAGTAACATTTTGGTTAATGCAACCAAGTCAGTTGACTATATTAATGAAATTCAACAATATGTTGTCACTAGTTTCCAACAAAGCAGTTCTTCAGGAGGTTTATGTGATGAAGCAATGAGAGGTGTTTTATTCAAATTTAATGATTGTAATCTTCATGCAGATTCTATCCATCGTGGAGCTGGTCAAATTCTCCAAGCAACATCACGTGTCATGACTGCTAGTCAATTGAGAGCTGATCCAAAGTTAGTTGAACCAATGTATCTTGTTGAAGTTCAATGTCCTCAATCAGTGATGGGTTCTGTCTATAGTGTCATTTCCAATAGAAGAGGTGTTATCAAATCTACTGAAATGGTAATTGGTACTCCTCTCGTTAGTATTACAGGTAATTTACCTGTGCTGGAAAGTTTCGGTTTAACAGAAGAGTTGAGAGGTGTGACTCAAGGACAAGCTTTCCCTCAATGCAGTTTCAGTCATTGGAAAGTTATGGAAGACAATGTTTATGATCCTCAATCTAAAGTTCACAAGCTCATCAAATCTATCAGAAAGAGAAAGGGTCTTAAGGAAGATATACCACTCTACACAGATTACTGTGATGCAATGCCTAAACAATAAGAGTTTAGCATTTAGTAATAAATTGCCTTTTTCTCCAATCTTTCGGCAGTACAAACCAATGGTGGATTGAATCTTTTAACAAGTTTAAGGATTTTGAGGTGCTTGTAATCATTGATGATTTTCTTGATGGAAGCTTTATATCATTGGATAATATTTTCAGAGTGGATACTATACATGATACTGAAGGTAATGATATATTATAACGAAACAACACAAAAAAGTTGAAGGAGAAGCAAGCAAAAGTTGCAGAAGGTGGGATTTGAACCCACGAAGCTTGCGCAGTAGAACTTGAGTCTACCCCCTTTGACCACTCGGGAACCCCTGCTTCATCTAATCTTAAAAAACTGGTTTTTCACTTTGAAATATACCAACATTCTATATTTTCAAGTTAGCCATTGCTCCTTAGCATCTTATTTTCATATCATCCATAATATTATTCTTTATCATCTTTATTCGCCTTGAAACCAATCTTAATTTATTCTCCCAACTTATTCAAATATTTTCTTGAATTGATTTTCCAATTTTCCCCAATTTTTTAACCATAACTTTTCCTCGCAACATTTCACACTTTCACAACCAATATAACATCATTGAGGATGCAAGATTGAAAAAACCATTGACTGTACTTCTACAGGATCTTTTCTGTAGGAATACATAAACTCGACTTTTTTGAGTCAATCTGACCTTTGAGGTTAACCAAGATGAAGACTCTGTAGTCACATATCTTGAGCATGATATCGAACTGGAAACATGCTTCATTGTAGGTTTCCTCGTTCATAGATGATTGCTGCATTCCTTACCAGCCATGGTTTGTGAATGGGGGATTTGTGAACATGCAGATTGGTACCTTAAACTTTTTATCAATTAAAAGAAAAATATTACAACTATGCCCGAGAGCTGCCAATTAAACTCTATAACAAAACTTTCCTTTTATTAATCAACATGGTGATTGTGTCGTATCTTCATTGCACTCTATTGGAGTTAGGGTTTTATTTTGTCTTATTATTGATCTACCAGTATTGGAAATAAACAACGCCAGGTTTGTTAATCCTCATTTTTCAATGAAGAAGTTCAACACGATGAAAAAGTGCAAAATATTTGAAGACTCAAATTCGAAATTTGAAGGTTTATTGATCAACCACAAGTTCTCTTTCTAAATAGATAA